TCTTGAAGTCTTCTCCAAATAAATAAGATTGGACTTCTTTCCTTCTTCTTCAAGTATGTTTTTTTTCCTAAGAACATGAAAGGATCACTTGATTTGTTTTCTTGTCCTTCTTTTCATTTTATTTCTTGGTCCCCCTATTAGAAAATATTGGAAAGATCAAAAATTGCATACACAGTGTTGTATTGGATATATCTTTGTTGCATATAATTTTCTTTACAAGAAAATATGATCATTGTTTGTTACTGGAAGATTGACAGTGGAGATTAATTTCATTCTTGAAGTCTTAGGATTTGCTATTAGTTACATGTAGGAATGCATTAGATAGAAACCGAAAAAAGGGAAAAGAAACTTTCTTAGGAAATATGAAATGGGTTTAGGCATTATATAAAAAACAAAAAAAAGAAGCAGAAATGAAAAGAGAGCCAAGGAGAGGCAAAAGTGCAGAAAAAATATAAAAAATAGAAACGGAAAAAAGAAAAAAAGAAACGAAAAAATTAGAAATGGGAAAAAAAAGAAAAACAAAAATGGAAAAAAGACAATGATGGGTTTTTTTGATTGAAATATTTTTTTTGGGTAATTATTATTTTTGATAAAAATTGAAAAATCTCCAAAATTAAAGTATGTGATAATCATATTTATCTAGAAGCTATAGGGTGCCTAACACCTTTCCTATAAATAACTGACCCTTCGATCCTAGTCAATTTCTATGTAGACTTTGATGATTTATCCCACCTCATTTGGAAAAATGGTGACTCCATCCATTTTGGCACGTCAACAGTAGGTACATCTGATGAGCTCTACAATGCCTCACCACATGCTCAAACTAGTTCTACAAAAGATGATTTGCCTGCTGGTAATGCATTAGATAATTTTGAGCCTTCCTCTACTTCCTCATTTGTATCACTTATTGATGTTGCATCTGATATTGTCGACTTTGCAAATGAACTTATTGTCCCATCCTCAAGTCATCCGACCAGAGTAAGAAACCCTCCCCACTACCTTCATGATTATCATTGTTTTCCTGTTGTTACTTCTTTACATGAGCTTCAATTCTATCAAGAGGCCTTTTTTAACCCTCTTTGGCAACAAACTATGCAAGATGAATTATAGGCTCTTGAGAACACTTGTACATGGGATTTAGTTGATCTCCCTACTGAAAAGTCTCTAATAGGTTGTAAATGGGTGTAGAAGTCAACACACGGTCTAATGGTTTTGTAGAGCATTATAAGGCATGCTTGGTTGCCAAGGGTTTTACATAGGAGTATGGAATAAACTATGTGGAAACATTTGCTCTAGTTGCTCATCTCACATTTGTGCATAGGTTGCTTGCTATTGTTGCTATACGGAAATGGAAATTATTTCAGATGCATGTGAAAAATGCTTTTCTTAATGGTGACCTAGAAGAAGAAGTTTATATGAAACCACCTCCTCGGCTCAACCATCCTCTAAACAAGGTATGCCAATTGCGATGTGCATTATACGGGTTGAAACAATCCCCTCGAACCTGATATGCAAAGTTTAATGCAATTGTGAGTGAGTTTGGTTTTACTTCCAGTCCACGTGATACATCTCTATTCATTCGTAAGATTGCTTGGGGTATGGTTCTTTTACTTCTTTATGTTTATGTTGACGACATGATTATTACTAAAGATGATATCACAAGTGTTGAGGAGCTAAAACAATCTTTTAGTCAAAAATTGGAGATGAAAGATCTTGGTATTTTGAGCTATTTTTTCGGGCTTGAAGTCACCTCTTTAGATGATGACCACCTGCTTTCTCAAGTAAAGTATGCTTCCGATTTTGTTTCTAAAACTGAACCCAATGATAGTAAGAGTGTTTCTACACCTCTTGAACCTAATGTTAAGCTTGCACCTCTTTATATATAGGATCTTTGTATATACAATAAAAACAAAGAAAGCAATAAACCCTTCTTCAAATTACTCTTTCTTATTTTCTGTTTCCAACAGTCTCTAATGCCAACCACTTCTTGAGTTCTACAAGCACATGACTTAAGTCTGGCCTTTGGTCTGCAGATTTCGATGCACACGACATTGCTAACTTTGCAAATTTTGAAGCAGTGTTGATATTGAATTTTCCTTGCAACCTTGGATCAACAAGTCTTTCTATATCCCCTGTCCTCATTATAGGCTCTACCCGATCAATTATATGTGGAAGAGGGTCGCACTCAATCGCCAGAGCAGGCCAACCGGTTAACAACTCTAGTAAAATTATACCGAAGCTGTACAGGTCAGTTTTCTTGTTTACTTTTGACCTCAAAAGATACCTATATGAAAAACATAAAAGATGAACTATTTGCTAAAGTTAAAAGCGACTAGCTGATAGCTGTTGGTGTAAGTTTAATACTTACTGAGGATCCAAGTATCCTAATGACCCACAAATGTCAGCAGATTCTTCAAATTCTTCATTCAAAAATATAGCCAATCTGAAATCAGCTATCTTGCCTAGCATGTTTTCATTCACTAAGATAACATGGGATGTCAAATTTCTATGTACTATAAATGACTTGCAACACATCTGCAGATACTCCAATCCTGCAATTCTAGCATAGCATTAGTTGATTTCTCGTGAGGAAAGTAAAGCAAAAGAAATTAAAGGAAGTTTTCACTAAATAAATTAGGACCATGTGCGATATCAATAGCAATTTGAAGCCTCTCATTCCAGCACAAAATTCTTTTGTATTCCCCTATAGAAGAAAAAAAAACGAAAAAAAAGCAAGATAACAATTTTTAGTTCAGGTAATCAAACTAAAAATGGTTAACTTATACGGTGAATCCAAACCTGATAACTGCTGTCTCAAATTTCCATTAGCCATGTATTCATATATCAATGCCTTATTATTATCACAGTATCCCACTGCAGAAACCAAATTTCTGTGATGAAGGACACTTAGTAGTGCTACCTGCATTCAAGAATGATGCTTTGTCAAAGTGAAATTCATTTGTATTTATCTTTGATGTTATAGAGTGTTGAAAAAATGGCTGCATCGATCCAACCTCGGTTCGTAATTGATAATATTCTTCGTTTGATGATGATGGAGACAGAATCTTAACAGCAAAATGAGCGCCATTATTGAGCGTGCCAAGGTAAACTCTGTTAAATCTCCCTTCTTCAATAACTTCTTTAAAATTTGAAGTTATTGCAGCAACCTCAGTGCGGGTAAAGATTCTAAAACCCCGAAAATTCAGTTGCACCTCCATTGATTTCATAATGGCCCCTGAAGCAATGAAAATCATGTTTCTTGTTAAAAACAATGCCTGTGCTTGACTCTAAGATAAAACAAAGAGAAGAGAATACATTTTTGTCTGTGTCTTATGTTTCTGTAGAGTTTAACTAGGATATTGGGTCTGCTGGTATCATCCAACACCCCAGAAAAACCAACCTCCACACGCAAACACTCCTTAAGTTTTGTCAATATTTGACTAATGTCAGGCCTTTCTTTAATTGGCTTCACACATGACATTGCTATCTTTATTACTTTTCGTGCGATACTAACGTTGAATTCACCATTTAGCCTTGGATCAACGATTGCCCGGAGGTACCCTCTTTTGATTAAAGGATCAATCCAGTAAGTTATGTTAATGCTTTCCTCTGTCTCTCGTGTGATGACTGCTGGCTTACCAGTAACTAACTGTAGTAGAATTATCCCAAAGCTATACACATCGCTTTTCTTGCTTATTTGTCCCATTTTAAAAGAACTGTTTGGAAAACACAAAAAAAATTATATCAATAAGATTTTGAACAAGAATGGTTAATCATGTTGAAGATTTAATTAAAATCTTACTCAGGATCTAGGTATCCAAATGTGCCTGCAGGGTGAGTTGATATATGAGTGGCAGATTCTGTTATAAAATCTCTGGATAACCCAAAATCAGCTATCTTGGCTCGCATGTATTCATTCAATAAGATGTTGTCAGGTTTCAAATCTCTGTGGATTATTGGTGGCTTCCGACCATGTAGATATTCTAACCCTACAATTCTAGTATTACATTAAATGATAGGTCCTTGAAAATGGAAAGCAAAAGAAATTGAAGAAAGTGCCCGCTAAATAAATTAGTACCATAAGCAACATCTAAGGCAATTTGAAGCCTTTGAATCCAAATCAAAACTCTTTCGCTTCTCTCTGCGTGAAAAACATAATAACTTTTAGTTCAAGTGGTCAAGCTTAAGAGCAGTTAAAATTAGTGATGGTGAATCCAAAGTCCAAACCTGATAAATGTTGTTTCAAATTTCCATTAGACATATACTGCAATATCAATGCCTCCTTACCATCTTCATCGCAGTATCCCACTAGAGAAACCAAGTTTCGCTGATGGACACCAGTCAACAGTTTTGCCTGCATTTTAAGATGATGCTTTGTTATAGTGAAATTTATTTGTCAAAATCTGCAATGCTACAGAATGTTACGAAAATTAACTACAGTGATTCAAACCTCTTTTAGGAATGCCTTACGGCATTGCTCTGATGATGAAAGCAGAACCTTAACAGCAACATCAGGGCCATCCTTCAGGGTGCCAAAGTAAACTTCTCCAAATCCTCCTTTCCCAATCATTGTTTTGAAATTTGAAGTTATTTCAATAATCTCAGAGGATGTAAAGGTTCTAGTCCTTGAATTCATTGACGGTTCCTCCATTGATTTCCTAATCCCTTAATCAGTGAAAAGCATATTATGTTCAAGGTTAAACACAGAAATAAGGCAGAATCAATCTTCCATTAGGTTAAACACAGAAATAAACAAAAACCAAAATTGCCTTCCTGCTTACTCTAAGGAAAAAAAAAAAAAAAACTATATATTTTGCCTTCTGTTCGGAATTTTGCAAATTATGAGTTTGACATAGAGCAAGAAGGCAGGATTAAACCATGCATAATAAGCAAAAAAAAAAATCTCAGGACTTCGACTGTCTCCCAGTTATATATATATTTTTTTGAACAGCAAATGAAAAATCATTGATAAAAAACTGAGTACAAGGGGTACTCAAACCCTTACTACAAATACATAAATCAGCCCTTCAATGTTAATCTTATCTTTCAGATCAATACTACTTTCCTCTACAATCAACTAAAAGACAAGCAGTAGGATCAATCATTCAATCCGAAAGACTGAAATAACACCTAGCTTTCCTTGTTTTAATCCAATCAAAAGATCTCAGCTTTATATAATTTCAGTTTTATATAATTTCAGCCTCTGCTCAACAGGTGGGAGAAGAGGTGTGACGACAGACGTTTAAAAGAGGGAGAACAGAGGTTACAAATATGTACTTCTGATCTTCTTGTTATTGTTGTTTATTTTTTTCCACAAATTAAAATTTTATTAAAAATTTTTATCTTTTTACTACTTTATTTATATTATTTTCTTTAATAATAAATATTCATTTATCTTAAAAATTTAAAAGTAACAATAAATTTAAATAAATAAATAAATAAGAACATAAAGGGAGCCATTACTCCGTCCTAGAATAAT